GCAAAAGCCTTCTCGGCCATTTGAATTCACATGATCATATGTTTACTTTGTACCCCGAATAATCTTTCAGAACTTGTTACTCCTTGCGCTTTATCAACGTAATGGTAAATTTGAGGGAAATCATGGAAACTACGCCATGACCTCAATCCTTCAACGAGCCAGAAGAAGAAGAATTACCGAAGCACTGGTAAGCATACAAGGTAGTACTAGTCGCTAAAGCCTGTTATTACTTTAACCAATACCGCAGTAATAGTTTGTCATGACGAATGTGATAAATAATTATGTTTTTAAAAGCCAAAGATTCCATGTTGTCAGACAACCCTCTATTACAGCATTGTCTTACATCTTGTTATATTCAATTTCGAACCAGTATTCATTTCCTCGCCTAAAATTCTACATGATTGTGGCTACAATAACTAGTTAATATGTTAATTTGATTATTATTATAGCATGCTTTCAAGATTGAATAAAATAATAAAGAAGGAATGATAACAAGATAATCTATTAAGTAAAACGTTTTGTTGTACTATGCAGAGCGTATTAAAGTTTAGTTGTCTGACCATTTCTCGTTGCATAAGTTATTCCAAACCCTTTTTTCGTCGCGGGTGTGAAAGTTTTCATAAATAAAATACTACGTAAAACTGTCGCGTACTTGTATTTCCAAAGACGTGGCCCTGTGCACTAGTTTATAACATTAGAAGAAGACATACCATAAAATGTTGGAAAAGCATTATCATTGTATTTTAAATATATAGCGCTATTATAAAAAAGTTACTCGATTACAACGTTGAGAAGGGTATCTCGTATACTATCGAAAGAAGTATATTGGACAAATTCAGGTTTATGCACCAGAAAAGTATTGTTCATTTAACGAGCCTTCATCTCAGCGAAAAATTATAAACTTTGTAAATATGACTGATAATAATAGTCTTTAGAATAGCAAATGATACTGTATTATAGTTGATTTTGAGAATATAGATAGTTTAGACAAACGAAAGCGCAAATGGATCGAAACAAGATTTTATTAATCAATACACAGTCAAAGCTCTAGCTGAGAACTTGGAAAGGAAAATGTTGAAGCCGAAGCTGATTCAAGCCGAGAATGTAAGCTTTGGAAGATGTGAAAAGCCCAAATCTAGAGAAATCCCAAATTAGATGATAATATAAACAATTTTATACGTTTGATATGCATCAAACTTGAGAGAAAAACAGGAAAAGCAAGTATCAAGAGAGACGGCCAGAATATTGCACCCAACAATCATATGAATGAAAACTCCGAAACCATATATGGTATTTAGTGTGTATTACGTCACGAGAATTTTCAATCACGTGTTAAATTTTCGCATACACGACTATAAACACAGCTCACTCTTCCTTCCTCTTTCAACTCAAAACGATCGCTCGTATATGACTTCTATAAACCAACCAACGATAACTCCACCCCAGCCACCCGCTCCACCCAAACGCACAAAGCACGGATTAACATATCAGAACGCGTGTGTTAATGTTGCACTTAATGAAAGACAATACCTGTTTTTGTTTGATGTTGCGGTGAGGGCGTATGCTACTGTCGCCGTACTTAAACTCTTACAGCCATGGTTCGGTGAGTTAACAGACGTAGGAATTGACGACACATGTCGCGTCGTGGATTTTGATTTTGATTTGAAATTCAATCAAATGTGCAGAATTACATACGTTTGTTTGTTCTTTGGGTCCGATCGTTGACTTACAACAGCCTCTTTATTTTGATTCCGTAGTTAATTACTTTTTTCCTGAATTTTTGATGTGTGACATAAACTTAAACTTGACTCTTTTTCTTTCTTTCTTTCTTTTTTTTATTTCAATTTATTCGACTTTCTCACTAGGCAGTCAAAAGGATCAAATATCATTTCCGTCTATATTAGTATCAATGGATACATTAACTGTCTTCATCCAGTTGTATCTGTTTGGGCTGTTACCTCTGTGGGCGATAAGAAAGATTTCCATTGATAAATTAGGTAAGTCATAGCAATCGGCCGTTACTTGTGATTGATCCACTGCTAACTAATCTATAATGTATTCATTTTGTAGTTCGCCCTGATATATCGAAGAATCTTCTATTACAAATAAAATCAATCTTTACCTCGGTTTATTCTTTTTTGACGATTACTGGATACATTATATCTTCGTTCGCCATAACGAAATGTTGTTATCAAATCATTGGGAGAAAGCACACAAGAAGCTGGATTATACATCCTGGCGATGAAAAGTAAGTTAAATGAAAGAGTAAATAACAAATAGACAAATCAGATTTAATTTTGATGCGCTGTGTTTTTGACTAATTGCTTACTTTTTTCTTGCAGTTTTTGGTGTCCATCATATAGAAAAGACAGATGTCTGAATGATCCGTCAGTGTTAAACGAATATTGTGCAATCGCTGGATTTTATAGTATTGTATTTGGGTTCATTTTCGCACTAAAATATACAATTAATTATGAAAACAAAATCCACTTTTATAAAATAAGAGTAAGTAATACGCTAGCAGATATTAGCAGTGTATAGAAAAGCAGAATTTTTTGTTTAAATCTGTGAATTATACATACATACGTAACAGGTTTTCTTACTCCACCCATTTTTTTCTCTGTTATCCAGACATACTCCTCAATCATCCACTTCCTCTATTCGAACTACAAATCTCTTCTCACTCTCTCCACTTGGCATCGCTATGGCAGTCCATTTATTGCCAGACCGCTGCTATATCTTGAATCGAAACATCCCATTGATTACAAGAAATATAGGTTCTTATTTTTATTCACTCTTGCATATTGGACATGGCATTTGATATTCTGGAAAACATGGTATCACGGAATAATTAGATGGACACCATGGAGGTGAGCACGGGATTTATATCACGCATGACAACAGAAAGAACATTGTTAATTGGTGTTGGGTGTGAAATATCGTTCTTGTCGTTGAAAAAGTCTGTCACTATCAAGATATGTACTAATCACGACCCCTGGTATCTCCGTAGTAAGGTCGAATACGAATGGATGAAGGCACCGTTGTTCGACATTGAGACGTTCAATCGCACAGTTTTTAGCGCGCTTACATGTTTAGCTCTGTGGGACAGTTTAGACAAGTTATTCTCATTCTATTTCACCAACGTAATCCCAAGTTTCTAATAATTAAAGTTTTATTCTCAAATATGGTTGTTTTACATTTCTTATGTCATTTAACTCTTTACAGAATTATTATAGGTAATATTTGCAAGTGCGCCTTACATGGATCCCAATTCGGTACTAGTTGATGGACTGCGAGCAACAGAGAAACCATATACTCAGGTAAGTAATACAATAACGAGATGGGTTAATGAATATGTATTTGTGCTGGCATACGATTGGTAGACGTAGCGAATGTATTAATTATACTCATTTTTTCCTTAAATAATTTATTGATTCAGCATTTGGCTTTCCTAGAGCTCCATTACATAGCGCGCATCGCAACACCCCAGACAATAGCTCGTCGCACTTCAATATTCAAAGATCGCGACTCGTGGGATACAGTATCACGGTCCTGCATGTCTTTTCTGTTCTCGTTCGCTCTTGCTAGTCAAGCCCATCTCATACCTCAGAAACCAGATGACAAGAATAAACCAGACAGACAAGAAGAATTAATGAAAATGATATTACCTCCTCATTATGAATCAGAAAGGAAGAAGTACGGAAGAGGAAAGAGGTTGTTTTATGACGCAGTATTTTTACTTTTGAATGAAAGCGTTAACAGGAAGACAAGAAGATTGTGCAGAGATAAGGAATTAGTTGTGTTTGGCGTTGAAGGTGAATGGAAACCACGTATTTATATGTTCCTGCAGGTTAATGAATTCTCGCTAAGCAATTGAATCACTTTTTCTAATGGTTACTATATTTGTTCCGCAATACAGCCCTAGCATCACTTACAGCTGCTTCTCTCACACTAGACCAGTATGGAGTGGTCCAGTCAGATATTACAAAAGTATTTGAATGTCTCATAGACGTGTTGATTAGTCTGGAAAGATACTCGAATAAACCACCAATAGGGTTATGGGATGGTCGTAGCCCTTCCGAAGTACAGTTGAGAGCATTGAACGATATCGTTGGGTTAACTTTTGGTGGGTATGGCGAGACGGGAAAGAGTTTATTATCGCGCTCTGGATATTTACACTGTGTTTATTTGTCATTTTGTAGTCGTGAAGGATGCAGTATATGAATTGACTATGGCGTTACATGAATATTTGGACACGGTGCGATTACCTCCGCTGCATCATAATAGATTGGAGAAACTGTTAAATGAACACATTTGATTAAAGATGGAACAGATAAAATATACTGATATTAATAATGACACAAGATGGGTTAAATACCGTTGAGCTGCGATGAGCGATTATTTCGGTACGATTTTGGATTCTGTGCAGGTGAAATAAACAAACGTCATACCTATCAATAGTTGGGTGAAATTATATCGGCGAGCGAGCTTGATCTCGTTTACTTTTCGCGTTGTTCCAATAAGTATCACTGCAGAACTTTAATAGAATATCTCAAAGGTCCTTGTTTGGTCATAATAATTTTCTACTCGTGCAAATCAATAAAGAGGATACTGTTCATAAATATTGTGAACGTCCATATCAAGTGATCCAAAACTTGATTTGTATCGTTATCACAAACATCGTAAAAGGTCCAAAAAAGCTTTGGTGGTCGTTGCATTAATATATTAAATAATACTCTTGTAGAAAATATTTATTGTTAATGACTTGATAATTCCAGTTGAATGGATATGTGAATGTTGTGTTCAGTTGAATGTTATACACAGTGAAATACATGAAGTGTAAAGAATGAAAAATGAAATAAGAAATAAAAAGAATAAACAAAGATGATGAGCGCGACATATGCAAATCTAACATATTCAATGATTATAAAGTGAATGTTCTTTTTCCATTGTCCATTAAAGTTGGCAGACTGTAAAACTCGTTTGAAACTTGATGCCAATTACCACTGTGACAATAACAAACGTGCAATTAATACAATAATTTACATAATTATTGAGTTACAATCAAACATTAAATTTACGCTCACCAAATCAAGAAGATATTTCTTCTCGTCTGTCCATTTCAGCAACTGCTTTAGTGCATCAGCATGCGAGATGCCATTGTATTCGGACAAAATAGCCGCTAGCGTATCATTCATTCCTTTAGCCATCCCCTTTGCATCTCTAACGGATAGGACAAGTAATTGTTATTTTTGATATTAATTCCATACCCAAGATGTTCATAAAATCTATCAAATATGGCTCATATTAACTTACCCACAAACAAAGACAACCGCGTCTTTCTTGTAAATCATTTCGTAGACTTCTTTAGCATGAATCTTGACCAAATCTTGCACATACTTTGGTTTTCCATTTTCTCCTGCTCCAGGCTCCCTACTTACAGCCACACTTAATCTACTTAGTACACCACGAGAGAGGTATCCTTCTATTTCGTCTTTATATAAAAAGTCCTTGGATTTATCCCTACAACCGTAGAACAACCAACTTTCGCCATACGAGGAAGATATGTCCTGAGTCGTTTTGTATCCAGCTTGATTGATAACATCATGTTCATCATTGTCTCTTCCATTGGCGTCTATCCCATTGTGATCGCTTGCATCTTTGTCACTAACATCTTTTCTGTTTACATGAGCAATGTGCTCCATAGTCTCGTTAAGTATTTTCAATTGCCACTCTCGATGTTGAAGGAATCCCAAGAACGGTGCAACACCCGTTCCAGGTCCAATCATAATAATATCTCTTTTCAAATCCGACGGTACATTAAACTCGTGCGTATTTGGCTTGAGGAATAGTGATATAGCCACTCGTTCGTCCTTGCTCTTGTTAATTCCAACTCTAACACCTCTTTCTGTCACTTTTCCCGATAATTCATCTAGCCACGGCGTACAAACACCACGCTTACTTACATTAAACTCGGTTTTAAACTCAACTACATTGAAAGCAAAATGTAGAGAACGAGGATGAGCAAGCAGAGAATTGATTGCAGAATAATGGCGTGGTTGGAGTGGTAGAAGCACGTCGAGAAGGCGGTCGAACGGTGGCTGGCAGGATGGGAAGGTAGCGAGAATGTCTAAAACCGTTGGTAATTGATTACGGAGGGCTGCGAACTGGCCAAGACCTTATAGTGGGAGGAAAAAAGAGAGATCGAGAGGGTGAGTGTACATGGCAATAGGTGTTTGGGTAGATGGTAATTGGCGTCGAGTTGTCCCATTTCTTATATTAATTTGCTCGAATCCTTGCATTGACGTTAACTTTTGGAATCTGTTCATTCTACATGTTTTAAAAGTCATCTAATATCTCACCTTGTTTACTACACAAGAATAATAGTGTCTTTTTCTCTTCGGCGTCGACTGCATATTCTGCCAGCATTCTCAATAACGGTTTTCGTATTAATGACGTTATATCTAATCCATATGTCAACAGTTCATATAGCGATGTTGACTTTGCTTCCTTCAAGTGGCTTGGAAGATCTATTAAATTCAATCGATCAACGTATGGGATATTAATGGAAATTGTTGGTTATAAGTAATGATAAAGCACACACGAACAATATCTGCCATAATCATCTCGAACTCCAACATACCACCATTCTTTGCATCATCGACACTCTGTATCTCGACTTCTTTATGCATTTCATCTTCACCAATTCCGAGCCTATTCAACAGACCACGTACCAACCCATCGTCGTTGGGCGCTATGACTCCAAAAGCATCCCCCGGCAAAAATCGTAGTGTCTCTTTTTCTTCTTCGTCCACTTCAACTTCTATCTGTAGTGTCCGTTTGACCGCATCTGGATCAGTGAGAAGTGTAGCAGCAGAGAGATAGGCTTTGAAAATTGGAGATGGTGTTGAAATGAATGATGGTGGAAAGGACTTGGGAGTATGTTTGTGAATAGAATGAAAAGTTGTGCGGCAAACAGAGGAGGGAACGCGTGGGATAGCTGTTAGTTGGGTGATTGTCGACAACGTTGAAAGATCGATAGCCAGTGGCGTGCCAAGCGGGATGGGCTTTGGGGTGGTGACGTTTAAAGCTGCTGTAACGGTCGTAACGGATGTAGACTCTTTATGATTTATACGTGTATCAACGGTGGTGTCATCTGAAGACATGCTTGTCAAATTGTTAACAGCTTTGTCGTTAAGAGTTATTTCTTTGATGATGGGTGCTGTGGCGTTGGCGCTTGTGGATGTTGTGACAGTCGTAGCAGGCGTAGATGCATCCGTATGATTTATACGGGTAGCACCTGTGTCATCTGTGGATGTACTTGCGATATTGTTGGGGGCTACGTTTTCAATTGTTGCTTCTTTGGTGTTTGTATCCTTGTTTCTTGGCATTGCTTTTATGCTGAAATCAGTAGCAGATATAGATTGCGTTGTTGCAGTCGATGTTCGTTCACACACTTTCTCTAATGCTACCCACAAGTTCGATATCCATGGTTCGACGACTGCTTCTAAGCTTTAGAATGAAAGAAGATTAATATAAGACCATACCGATCATTTGATGGTCAAACTGCTGATAAAAGAATTGTCTAACTCTCACTCTTCACCATAGTTAGGCTAATTTACTCGTAAAACACATTCTCTGGCATTCGCTAACACTTTAAAAAAACTGTCTAGCCTAGCACTCCTTACCCTGATGCATCGTCAGCCAATCCTTTCTCATAGAACGGTCTCCCTCCCAATTCCAAAAATTTCTTCTCCATGCGCTTTGCGGTGTTATTAAAATTAGTATAATTGGTATCACCTAATCCTTTTGATTGCAAGATTAGAGTTCAAGTTAGAAAATACAGGCTTTTGGCAACATAATCAATTCGTATGCGTATCCGTTCATCATACTAATAAAGAATGTAGCAAAAAAAAAAAAATTTACAAATTCTCTGTTATATATACATTGGCGATATCATACCAAGAATAGCGAATTGACAATGGGATAAAAATGTCTTTGATTTGATTTTTCTAAAGTAACGAAAGAACTTTATCGCATTTTCAGGCGGATCTCCGTCGCCTGTGTTGGCAGCTACAACGATCAAAACCTTTGTATGTTCCAGATCTGCCTATATGGATATAACGACAGACAGAGAGCATGTTGATTATGAGAACAGGCTGTGGATAGTGTGGCGGCGGTTTTTTATTTGTATTTTTAATTTCCTTTTAGGTTACCTTCTCATAGTCGTCGGTTACATAGCATTCACTCTTGAAACCACGTTGAATAGCCTCCTGATTTATGCTCTTTGCTATCCATTCTGCATTGCCCGTTTGTGAGGCGTAGAGAACGACCAATTTATTGCTTTTGTTTATTGTCATATTGCAAGTCTCTCATTAGCATATCTGACAGATCAAGTTTTATAAATGAAATTTGCGGCTAAATTTTTGCCCACAACTGGATGACTGCATCACGTGCAATTCGATATTAGTAAATGAGGTATTTTAAGTGTTTGAGCCATATTTTTAATGGTGAATAGTAAATTATTGTCCAGAAACTCGTTTGAATTGCGGGGAATATCAAGGATATGCAGCGCGGAAGTGGACATCAGCTAAGAGAACGAGGAGACTGTGCATTTCTCACACCCGTCCTCTACATACTAATGGGAAGAATTTATGACATTTTATGTATTTTCACAGCGGTCGAGATACTACAATCCATGTGTCATCTATTAATCTAACTTGTAAGGGAATCTCCCTTCCTCGCGGGCTTGATCCCATTGATCAGTCTTGATGTCCCAGTAATATAATGAGATGTTAATAACGGAAAGCATGTGTATTGATAACCGATGAATATTGATCCAGAATTATTTCTCAGCGACTTACCCAAGAAATAGGACACAAGCTATGATATGCTTTCCAAAACTGCTTGCATGGTTTGTAATTTTCCCCACGAGCATTAACACAACGATAATAGTCAACGTAGTTTTGCCAACAGTGGCGTGTTTGGTTCGTATTGGGAAAACGGGCGTCGAATGTAGCTGTCATCGGCAGTTGTTAAAATATTATTGACCAAGTTAAGGAAAGTACATTTCATGATGGAGTGTGTCGAGAACAAGGATAGTAGTCAATTATGTCATATCTCACCCGTTTGCAGAGTAACAGTTTTTTCGTCACCGGACCTACAAACAAATTTATCAATTAATTCCCTATTGTATTAGACAAATACTTTCCATGCTTTCAATAAGCACTTCCTTGCACTTTTGTGTACTAAAGCGACTCACCCTTCAGACATTTTTATCAAGAGATGAAAAGGGAAAACCGAATGTAATGAATAACATCTATGATCACATGCGTTTTTAATGTGTGACAATATCTTTTATCACGTTATTACTGTAAATCTCTATATTAATATTACTGTTGAGGGCGATAATTCGACAAATTCAAACACAGAGACAAAGTTATTATCACAATTTACAGTATATACTGTTTCCAATAAAGGGTTTTATATTAGGATAATTTCTGTAAATAATTTTGAATGTAGATGAATAGCTCTATCTTTACCACCGAAATATTTTTTTTACGCATGATGGTGAATTTCGTAATAGAAGACTCCATTGAGCTTGACTTGGATTAAAATAGCCTTCACGTTCCCTCAATGAAGAGTTAAATTTCCGACCAAAATTATTGCTTTAAAAACTTCTACGAAGCTTTAGACTAGTAAGACGATTGCGAATAACTAAATTCTAAAATTAGGACTATTGAATTGAATTTTCACAAAGCTATTGTACATATGTATAAATAACTATTACATATGCTAGATTTTTATTTAATGTTACACAAATAAGATCTCCAATATAAATTTGACATCATCCATTAACCTACAACTCTTCTTCAACACACCACAATCAATCAACACACTTCCGAAAGCCCTTAAAATGGATTCTGTGAAGACGGGTCTCGTTCAAGGGAAAATAAAAAGACATCCGAAACGTAAATTTAATTCTACGAAAAATCAAAACCAGAACGGAGCGAAGAGACGCAAAAACGAATTAATAATCATTGCCAATCAGCTAAAGGCTTTTCGCCGAGAACTACCTATATGGAAAGGTGTGTTCGTATGTAAAAAATCTTGTAGTGACTCTTGTAAAAGAGGGCTGATCTGACCATCGATCACAGAGCGAAACAATATTATCCGTGAAATACGTAACAATAGTACTGTCATTGTTATGGGAGAAATGGGAAGCGGGAAGAGTACTCGTAAGTGAGCCAAACTCGTGTAGGTAGATCGATTTGCTCGTTTGAATTGTGATCTGAAGATATTGATTATGGGTTTATTAAAATCAATCAGAAATTCCTCAATTCCTGTTGGATGCTGGATTTACGAAATCTGGCGCAATAGCTATTACACAACCGAGAAGAGTGGCGGCAATGAGCCTTGCTAGGCGTGTTTCTTTGGAGTCTGGCGTATATCTTGGAAAGGAGGTATGAAACCCATTGGTGTCATTAACATTATTATTCTTGGTGAATGCTTTACGATGGATCATGTCTTGCCAGATCGGTTATAGCGTCCGGTTCGACGACCGCACTTCTCAAAAAACGGTAATAAAATACTTAACAGATGGTATGCTTCTGCGCGAGTTGTTGTCGGATCCGTTGTTGATGAAGTACTCGGTTGTCATACTTGATGAGGCTCATGAGCGTACTATGCGGACTGATATTTTGTTTGGGATGGTGAAGAGAGCCCAGAATGAGCGAAATAATACAAACGGGAAGCAATTGAAAGTGGTCGTTATGAGTGCCACTTTAGATGCGCAAAAGTTTGCTGCGTACTTCCAAACGTTAGTGTCGACATGTTACTAGTGTTCAACTTTGCTGCATGCGTATTGATCCTGAAGATTTTTTTTTTTTGCTTCCAGAAATTCGATTCTATCCATAGCAGGACGACAATTTCCTGTCACAGTTCATAACATTCTTGAACCTCAGCCTGATTACTTGGATACAGCCCTTGTAACGACGTTTCAAATTCATATAGAAGAAGGGCCTGGAGATATTCTAGTATTTTTGCCAGGTATGAATATATACTCACCATGATTCTCGGCACTGACACAAGAATTGCTAAATGTACGTTTCCCTCGTCATACCCGAAGGGCAGGAAGAGATAGAGACATTAAAGAAACTTATAAAAGATTACGGAACGACGTTGGCTGCTGATAAGATGAAGGTGCGTATCGTCATAATAATTTGACTTTGTCTTATAATATCACATTGACTTTGTCTTATAATATCACATAAACTTTGTTCATTCCTCTTATAGATTATACCGTGTCCGATGTTCGCCGCTCTACCTGCGGAGAAGCAAGCGAAAGTGTTTGAACCAGCGCCTCAGGATACGCGAAAAGTCATTCTTGCTACCAATATAGCTGAAACTTCGATTACGATCAACGGTGTACGATATGTAATAGACACTGGCAAGTTTAAAATGCGAAATTTCAATTCCAAGATAGGCATGGAGTCTCTGTCAATAGAAAATATATCGAAAAATTCAGCGAAACAACGAATGGGCCGTGCTGGACGCGAGGTGAGCGATGCATTATGTAGGGTATTTGCCAGTTGTAATGAAAAGAGAATCAATGAGCTAAGCGCATTATCTGCTTAGAGTCCAGGTTCATGCTATCGGTTATATACAGAGAAAGAACATGACGAGTTAAAGGATGAAATAATACCCGAAATCAAACGCTGCAATCTGGCATCTATCATCTTAATGTTAAAGGCGTTCGGTGTCGATGATGTTATAAATTTTGATTATCTGGATGCACCAGCGAGGAATATGCGTATGTTATGAGTTTCTACTTTGTATCGTCGCGTCGCTTGTCCAATTTCTTCGTTATTCAAGAACCTTTCTAGTACCTCAATAGTCAAGAAAGCACTTGAGCAGCTATACTCCTTGAATGCCCTCGACAATAGCGGGAAGATAACGAGTCTTGGGAGGAGAATGGCCGAGTTTCCGCTGGAGCCCACTTTTGCGAAAGTTCTTTTAGCGTCGAAGGTAAATTGCTATATGTTTATTGCATGGATATGACTTGATGATTTTAACTCATTGATTAGATATTTGATAACCATGTAGGATTTTAATTGCACACGTGAAGCCATAGCGGTTATTTCCTTGCTCTCGGTCGATTCGATATTCTTCACGCCACATGACAAGCGCGAAGTGGCTGCCGATGCAAAGAAGAAATTTATATCTCTGTCCGGTGACTTGATAACAATGTTGAACGTGTTGAAGGCGTATGAACACCATGGAGACACAGAATGGTGCAAACAACATTTCATCAATACAAGAAACATGCGTCAAGTTTTGGTATGGCTACCTGTCAACAATCGTATTGTTTTGATGTTAGCCTTTGTTAATATTCGACATTCCTTTAAATTCTTTTAGGAAATTCGAAGGCAGTTGAAGCAGTTGTGTGATCGAATGAACATTCCTTCCACTTCGTGTGGAAGTGATTACGACCAACTTATAAAATGCCTATTGCTTGGTTTCTTCCGAAACACAGCCTTGCTACAACCGGATAATACCTATAAGACTATTGTTGGGAATCAGGTAAGTTGAAGCCTCATTTGTCGTAACTTCCCCACCGCACATCGCACTGCTACATTGCTAAGTTGATGAATCTCACTACGATAGACCGTGTATGTTCATCCATCGTCTTCGGCTCATAATAAGAAGATAGAAGCCGTCATGTATATTGAACTCGTGAGTATATTTTTAGGCTGAATCATATTTCATTTATTTGTCAAATAATTAATCACTGCTTTTTTATAGGTCCTAACAACGCGGCCATATATGAAGAATGTCTCTATTATACAACCAAATTGGCTACGTGACGCTGCTCCCATATCCCAGAACTAACATCATAAGTAATCTTGTCACATGGAATTGAACCCTTAATATTACTTCATCATCGTTTGTCATACTTTACATTGTCCGCCGCTTTTACCGTGATCCGCTAACCTTGAATAATCCGGCTGTAATAGTAACTTTATTACTTACACTAGAAAGGCTCTTAAGTATAGTCTATTTTACATACTTACAGTGCGCGAAAAAAGTTTTCGGAATAGAACGCGTGTCAAGTAAATGTTGTTTCTTCCCGAAATACGCGTCTATCATCTAACACGTTTTGTACGCTCTAACCTTATGCACGTAAGCACTGACAAAAAAACGCAATCGCAATTCGCGCAATTTGTCTTACTTGTTTGCACTTTCGTTTTGTTACTAAAATACAATGACAAAGCCTTCGTTCGCAAGACTATAACCTCTCTATGGGCAAATGGTACTCAAGATGCCAACACATATTTCACTTTCTACAATATATGATTGTATTAAAAACCTCGAAAAAATGGGCCCTAAACCACGTTCTGATAGACCTCGAAAACTCTCTTCCAATCAACGTCGTCAACTAGTCTCAAGTAACCAATACTACCTCTACCAAGCTTGCAAACATATTAAATAAGCATCATCCCGACCTTAATGTCACAAGTTGTACAGTGCTTAATGAACTCCACAATTACCGGTCAACGCGACACTAAGTTGCATGTCCTGGATAATACAGTCTCCGAGGGCTCAGAAAGTTGCCGACAAAATTATAGATGAATCTAAAAAATGCTATTTTCGTTCAGATTCGACGAATGCTCGGTCAAAATAATACACGATATTAAGTAGGTTTGTGACAGTTTATCCTCAGATATGCTAGAAAAAAATCATTGAACTTTAACCCATGTTACATATACTCCATTCAGGCTGCATTTAGTGATGGCGCACTTCGTTGAAGTACGATGCCATTAACGTTGATGAAATCCACAACATTATCATTGCGGGACAAAAAATCTTGCCCTCAGTATGAAACTATACCTCGCGCTTCACCACTCTACACTTTATGCTGATTCTATGACGATCACCGCCTTCGAAGGAGAATGTCTTGCAATGAAGTGGTCCCGTTAGACATATGGGTATCTTATCAGTATTGTTTTCTGTCGAGCAAAAATATAATAAGAACAAAGATGTACAATTTCAATTCGATAATTATGTGTAATGTTCGACGTATTTGAAGTAAATAATGACAGGGCCACACACCATAGCTAATCTGTCCAGAAAACTGAAGTCCCTATACCTAGAAGAAACAGCCTCCAAAGCATATCAAGGGTTTGCTGGTATAAAGAAGGGGAGTCTAGCTCCAAATACTTTTATCAGTGTTTCAAATACAAACAAAAAGGCATCTATCACCTCTCTCCAAGTATCTCCTAGCTATCTCAACATCCAACATACCCACTCCCCTCATCACTGAGACACTTTCATCTACCTCTTCATCAGTCTTCTCTCCACTTGCTCCCTCCTTCCCCACATCACCATCCTTAAACAACAACCACACTTTGTCTGATATTGCACATATTAATATCCTTAACCATGTAACAGACTTCTACAAACACTTATGGATTTCACTCACACTCTTGATGACTCTGCCATCCTACAGTATATCCCACCCATCTCTAAAGAATCCAAAAAGAAACCTGCAAAGCCTTTTACCATCCAAGAAGTTATCATTGCCATTAAGTCAAAGGATAATGGCAGCTCTCCTGGACCCAATGGTATTTATTGAGATCACAAATGGAGCTACTCCACTACCCCCTTTCCTGGTCAAATACTCACACCATTCTCACCCCAAAAAAGGAAGAGGAGTGAACCCTCATCCAAAACTGGAGGCCAATTACCCTATCAAACACAGATTCCAAAATATTGACTCTAAACTCATTGTGATGCTACGTTATAAACAGTGACGTATTCTCTCCTAAATTTCTGCATTTCTCCGACGGCGCAGTAACACCAGCG